ATGTGATGGTATTTTTGCTAAGAAAAAACTTTTACCAATCAAATATCAAATTTGTTTTTAAGAATTTTATGCGAGAAAGGACAGAAGAGGATATTCTCGACAGTTAATGTTGCACGCACTGAGCTTGCAGTAGCTTATCTAAACTTTAAATGCTGCTGCAGCTATAAATTTTTTATACAATTCATTGTACTTTATTTATGCCCCGAACACTAAAAATGGTACCTATAGGGGATATAAAAGTAAATACCTACGTCATTAAAAAATTAAAGACCTAAATGTATAGAAATAATTCGGATGCCTTTTAAAACCTCAAAATAACAACTGCACATGAATATAATAATATGTGTGTTTCGCGTTAAAAGAGAATCGCCTTGTAATTATTATAATGACAGGCGATGACTCTTATTCCTGGTCGAACGGTACTAATATGGCAATATATTATTATTATATTTTGTACTTGTGYGCACTGCCTTAGTGTCTTATGTAGCGTTACCTTATTAGCTGCTTGCTTATTACATATAATAAGTATTTAACATAATATTCACATCGAATTTTCCGAAGGTGACCATGGTCGTGCTGAGGGACGAGTCGTGYGTTCCAGACGAAAATAGCGGCGTTTCCGCTGACACGACGAATATCACGGACTCGTTCGATGTGGAATTGACAAAAAAACCCAGCAAAGGTCTAGGGTTGAGCATAGTGGGCCGGAAATCCGGTTCGGGAATATTTATATCGGACATCGTAAGTAACATTTCCCGCGGGGTAAAACATATTATTTGGCGTAGATTTTAAAAATTATAAACAAAAAAATCAAGAATAATGGACGCAAATGTACAAATGCACTTATAATTTCCATAAATAGTTGAATAGTGAAAATAAATAAAKTAAATTTTTTTTTGCACWGGTAATATGTAACTTAATGCAATACGTATAGGATTAGTAAACAATAGTCTTACTCGCTATAGCATAATCCTTCAAACATTCATTCTGCAGTATATTCGATATAATATAATCGTTTAGTAAAAAAATAAAACTGTAAATTATGAAGGACATATTATTATTATAATTATTGCGACCGTCTTGGTATAATAAGAATTCGGGAGAATTTTAGATCTTAATTTAGTGTATCTACCGGCACAGTTATATARAAGTCACGTGTTTTTGAAGGTGGCCGGCGGTGCGGCCGGCGTTGATGGCCGTCTGATGAAAGGCGATCAGATCTTGGCGGTCAACGGCCAAGACTTGCGGAACGCTTCCCAAGAAGAAGCTGCCGCCGTGCTGAAGACTGCGACGGGCAGAGTCACTTTGAAAATGGGTCGTCTCAAAGCTCGCTCGTCCGCGTCTAGTTCGGACAAGTAAGCGTCGATATTAAATATTATTATTATTATTATTATCAATATCAGTGGCGCTGCTTTGCAAATTTCTCAATCTACAAGGGGTGTCATTCATTTGGGCGAATAACCCAACATTTACCTGAGTAAACCATATTATATCATTTTTGGGCGAGAAATTGACTGATCGTTTACTACAACTAAATATTATTATTTTATCCTTTCGGCTGATTTACGAATATAGATAGTGAATAATAATTTGTTAGATTGTACTAAGACGTGTGGGTTTTAATTTTTTGCTCATGTCTGATCTAATCAGATACTGAAGTGCGACATTTATTAATTAAAATTTAGTTAATACAATAAATATTATATATATAATAGATTTTTAATTATACCAGTTGGGTTAACTGAGAGTCCTAAACATGGACCTTGTAAATTTCGCCCAAATGATATGTATAAATTCGCCCGAACGATATGTTACTCGTATTTTGAGTCATTCGCCCAAATGAAAGCCCCCTCTACAAGTATAGTGACATTTTTTAGTTCTTTCTTTCCCTTTCCCACTGTGTAAGCACCGGGGTATGGGTAGGCCTGCTGCAGTATGATATGGAAAAAGAAAACAATTGCGTTTTTAAGAATTATGAACTATTATGTCTATATAATATTCAATCTGTTAATTTGGTAAAAGAAAAAAAA